ATTGATTGTAAAAAGATCTTAATCATTCCATTTTGGAATATTACCATCAAGTTAAGGCAATCTGATTCCTGCAGGTACCCCAATTAAATTTTACTTATTAAGAATTCTTTTAAAATAATAGCTGATATTCAACGTCAGAGTCTGTTGATCATCATATATATTCATTCACTTTCAGTTGCAATCTTTCCAATTTTCGCTTTCGTTATGTATAGGAAAGATTTACTATTAAGTGAACAATCAAAATTATTGATTGCAAAAACATCTTAATCATTCCATTTTGGAATATTACTATCTTTAGGTAATCTGGTCCCTGCAAGTTCTCCAATTAAATTTTGCTTATTAAGAATTCTTTAAAAATAATAGCTGATATTCAAAGTCAGAGTCTGTTGATCATCATATATGTTCATTCACTTTCAGCTGCAATCTTTCCAATTTTCGCTTTCGTTATGTTTAGGAAAGATTTACTATTAAGTGAACTTTAATAAATACAGTGTATTTCGTATCTTTCAAATGATTACTTTGATATATTGAAATTTCCTCTAAACAAATGTTTGAAATATTTACAAACATCTACATTTACATGTAATGTTATTGTCATGAAGTTTTGCATTTCTGTCTCAAAATTGTTGCAATATTGCATATTTGATATTGTGTGCATATTTGTCTGTTGAAGTCATCTAAAATTTATATAGTTGATTGCTATTAACGCTTCTTAGTTTTTATTATATAATCTACTAATTGTCTAAGTGATAAATTTTCAAGTCTGTTGAATTTTGTAAAGAAATAAAAGTAAAATCTTATTCACTTTTTCTGTTTTTATTATAACTACCATAGCTAATTTTACAACCCCCCCCCCAAAAAAAAAGAAGAGAAATTTTATTGTTCATTGTTAGCATATTAGACTTCAGAGTTGACTGTATTAAAGCTCTATTTTGCAGAAATACCGAAATTAACCTCATTATGACTAAATTGATCATGAGGTAGGCATTAAGCACTGGTTGAAAAGTAAGCCATTTTTATCAATTTTATACTTAGATCAAGCCCAATTACTGCAAATGAATAAAAAGAGGAAGTTCATACTCTAACATAAGTCTTGCAAGTAAAGGTTTTTCACTCAGGTAAGCGATGTGGCCCCTGGGCCTCTTGTTTATTCTCATGTTCATAGCTAAACCTAAACATAAAAAAGGCTGGCCTTGTAAGGAAGAAAGGGGCCTCTTTCAAAATAGATAATTTCAGGGCCGCTGGGTCAGGGGTACCAGGGGGGTACTTTCACTAAAAATAAATTAATGCTTTGAAATCTGCCCTTTGATTAGCAATGATGCCTCTTTCAAAATTTGTGAATTTTACGGCTTTTGGATTAAAACGCGAACACTTGATGTAAAGTCTAGTTTCCGCAAAACTGAAACTATGCGGAAACCTTTGCTGAAACTTGGCGTTGAAGTTTCCTGTATGGTTTCCGCAATGCGGAAACTATATAATAGTTTCAGCAAGTTTCAGTAGGGTTTCCGTATACTGAAACCATTAGGTTTGTTTCCTAATAGTTTCCGCAAAACGGAAACCAATGTAAAATTTAATGAAACGTCAATTTAACGATACGTTTTAGTTTCAGTAGGTTTCCGTTTCCGGAAACTATTAATATCGATTCCATATGGTTTCCGCATGCTGAAAGCGTACTGAAACTTTTTCTATTTGTTTTTTCAAAAGGGTAGAAAAATCAACTCGTATGCATATGATCTTTTACTATTGATTTCGATTCCATATGGTTTCCGCATGCTGAAACCGAACTGAAACTTTTTCTCTTTAATTTTTTTTTTCAAAAGGGTAGAAAAATCAACTCATATCATCCTTATATTTATTTATACATTAAAAAAATGGTTTTATTTTTAAATATCTAATAGTTCATATTCAGATTTTGAGATGTGCCTGCTCTGTGTAAACTTGCACATACCGATATTGATATCAATGATAAGCATATTATACAAGATCCTTGCTTCATATTAAATGTATAAAAATTGTTTATTTCATATTGTGTCGGAATTCAAAAATATTATTTTTAAACAAAATCGATTCCTCTCACAAGGATTTTCTACATTACCAAACTCAATACTCCCCCTCGGGAATTGATTATTTTGAAAACATACATCATTTTCAAAAAACTACGAATATGTTTCATGTAAAGTTGTTTAAAAAGAAAATTAGTGTGTCTTCATGGTGCATGAAATACAGATAATTACGAGAGTGAACATAATCTGAGATAGAAAGGTTTGCATTTATATTCTTTATACATGTTTCTATATATATTTTCCTTAACGAATATCATTTCAATAATTTCAATTTGTTAACAATACATACTGACTAGGAAGCCTTTTTTACTATTCATATATTTATTGTTCAATACTTACATGTACTAGTTATTTTTATGATAACATTGATTTAATATCTACATATATGTATTATTTCTGTCTTCGTAAAAACATTTTATTCGTAAGCCGCGGTTTTACAGCATTAAAAATATTACAAGAAAACATGTCCTGAAAATTTGATGTCATTGTTCCCAGGATTTGCAGCATTTTATGTCAATCTAATTAAAAATAAATCTTCCATTTGTTCCCCAAATGTTTATTTACACGAGGAACTCTTATATGTAAAAAGTCTGCTTTTGTGAAACAATACCCTGGGAGCGAATGGAAAATCTCAAAATTTTAATTAGAATGTATATTATGTGTAGGCTTTTTTTTTTTTTTTATTTTGTTTTATTTCATATATCTTGCTTTCGTGATGTTAATTAATGCAATATCACTGAAAACGCGGTATAGTTTTTAGTAATATGTTCAATTATATTCGTATTGAGATGTATAATGTGCTAAATATGTGATATAGAACTTAGTTTTTTTTAAATGAATTTAAAGTAGTCTGTAAGTTGATCAAATTTTCAATTCTTTACGTTCAACCCCACTCGCGGGCACCTGTCCTCACGTGCCACAGGTGGGGAGACAGATGTCGCGAAGACACCTGCTACCGTGTTGGTGTATTTTTTGTATATTCTATGTGGATTGAGAGGTTTTTCTACCTTAGGGGAACAATGGACTGTGACCAGGCGTAATATATACACGCAGTACATGGTATACACAACTAGCCTTTTCTAATGGCACCAAGATTTCTGAACATTCAAAATTAAAAATAAATCACACTATATAAAACTTCACCTAAAATCAAACATGTCATATGTATAATGTGTTATGTAAAATATTTCATACAATGTTTCATATTTAGCATAAGAAATTTTTATTTTATGTGTTGGTGATTAAAAGAAAATAGACAAACCTCTTAAATATTTATCTATCAATCTAATATAATAAAATTAATCTATTGGTAAGGAGAATATTTGCTATAGCTAGTTCAATAGACTATTTCAAAAATTTCAATATTATTTTACAATTTCTCCACAAAAAAAATCGGTTATCACAAAAAGAAATCGACAATTAATGGTATTCCTTGTTTGCCACCATTGTAAACTTCAAATATTGAAAGTATTTAGAGGTCAATGAAACGCAACCTAATGAAAACTAAGTCTGTTTTATTTCATAACTTTTTTCTATAGGTTATTTCTAAGTACATAATATTAAAACAACGTTTAACAGCAATTCTCTGTAATGACCAACCATATCATATATAGAGCGTGGCACACTAGGTCTCAGAAAATCAAAATAAGTTTCCATATACCTTGTATACATATATAAACATAAAAAGTGAAACAATTATGTTGCTATGGATTGCCGTTGCCATGGTAACGAACTCACCTACTTTCCCCTCCTGAAATGCTTCTTTTTCTCACAATAATCGAGAAGATTGGAGTGTTTATATTGCCGTTAATACATTCATTAAAGTTCTGATCATGATACGTGTTGTTAATATGATGAAAAATGATTAGATTAAAATAATAAAAAAAAATTCTAAAAAATGTTACAATATTGGAATATCGTATGCTATTAGGAGTCCTTGAGTAGCTTTGGAAAAGGTCAAATTTGGTCATTTTTCAAAGACGTTTTACATTCGAATGCAGCCATGCAGGAGCTGGGCATGATAATATCTATGAAGGGGACATACTGTACTATCAATATATGCAATAAAATTTTTGGGGCAATTGGGTTTAAGAGTAGTAACCATGGAAACAAAATTGACATTTTCCCCTTTTTTAAAGTTAAGATTTGGGTCATATTTCAAAGAAGCTTTACATTCGAATGCAGCCATGCAAGAGCTGGGCATCATAAAATCTATGAAGGTGGCATACTGTACTATCAATATATGCAATAATATTTTTAGGGCAAATGAGTGTAAGAGTAGTAACCATGGAAACAAAAGTGAGATTTTCCATTTTTTTTCAAAGGTCAAATTTGAGGCATATTTCAAAGAAGTTTTACATTCGATTGCAGCCATGCTGGAGCTGGGCATAATAATATCTTTAAAGGGAGCATACTGTACTATCAATATATGCAATAATATTTTTGGGGCTAATGGGTTTAAGAGTAGTAACCATGGAAACAAAATTGACATTTCCCCCTTTTTTTAAAAGTTCAAATTTGGGTCATATTTCAAAGCAGCTTTACATTCGAATGCAGTCATGCAGGAGCTTGGCATCATAAAATCTATGAAGGGGGCATACTGTACTATCAATATATGCAATAATATTCTTGGGGCAAATAAGTGTAAGAGTAGTAACCATGGAAACAAAAATGAGATTTTCCATTTTTTTTCAAAGGTCAAATTTGGGGCATATTTCAAAGAAGTTTTTCATTCGAATGCAGCCATGCTGGAGCTGGGCATAACAATATCTATAAAGGGGACATACTGTACAATCAATGTATGCAATAATATTTTTGGGGCTAATGGGTTTAAAAGTAGTAACCATGGAAACAAAATTGACATTTTCCCCTTTTTCAAAAGTTCAAGTTTGGGACAATTTTCCCATTTTTGAAAGGCCAAAATTACAAAAAAGTTAATACAAGGGTTCAATTGTATTTAATATCTGATTTGCCCATTTAAATGTATCTAAAGGAAGTAAACACAACACAATCAAACAAGCATTTGATCATACAATCTGTATGTTGCCATAGAAACATATAGGCATATCATAACTGGCAAGTATTAAAATTGATTGATTGTCTGATTGTTTGAATTATAATATATCAATAAAAACGTCAAATATATCAAATTATTAATCAACAAATGTACATTTGTTTGTTACAGTTATATATGAAATTTGGCTATCGCATGTGCATATCGTCAGTGCATACCTTAAAGAGAGAACTGCCAATTCCTATAACAAAATGACATGAGATCTATTTTGACTAGCGGGAGCTTAACGTACTAAGCATGTGGGAATGAACAGTATGGTATTTTCCAAGTTGCAGAAATATTCAACAACGATCATATTAAATGTACATAAAAATTTTATAACTTTCATTTGAGCTGCATTTTCACAATCTGTCAACTTTTCAGCAACTGGTAAATAATTCAAATGTTAGGCTTTATATCACAGTTGCAACATGAGTTTATAATTTACATTGCACAAAGGCATATATTTCTAATACATGTAGCTGGTCTTACAGTAAAATTTTGTCACATATGTTGAAAAACTAGTACAATGTTGTATTACATATCAAATTTAAAAGCTAATCAACAGATATAATCGATCTCCCCCACCCCTCACCCCTACGCCTAATTATTTTGATCTAATAGGAGATTCCTTATCTGATCTTTTCGGTCTTCTTCCTCTGAGGCACAGAAATCTGCAGCAGTCATCCTCTTCTCCTTTTGACAAAGACGGGAGAAGAAAGAAGATATCTGCTGACCAGAAAGGAATTCTGACCTACTAAACAGTCCACAATTCCTCATCTCCTCCGCTGCAATATACGGATCTACTTTATTGCCAGTCCTCTTCCCAATATCGAACTTCTCTGTCATGAAAGCTTTCTGCCCAGAAGTGAAAGTTACTCTTTGTCTGTTTTCTTTAATGGCCCATCCCATGTCTAATTCTGAACATCTACATACATCAGTATTGCTGTGGGACTCTAAAACCACAGATCTTTGTGGCTGGAAAGACAAAATCTTATCTGCATACATCCTCTTTGCCTTCTCTGAAACGTTCATTTTGGCATCGCTTCTGAAACTACAGTTGCCCATGTTTACATGATTTTCAAGAGCCTTTTGTGTAGAGAATGTCTTGGAGCAACTTCCCTCCGGACATTCCAGAACAGATGATCTAGATGGATTCTCCTCACTAGTGTCCTCTACAAATCAAATCATTCTTTGTTAGATAAGATGTAACGTCTCCATTTAAGTAAAAAAAAATCTTGAGTGAGACGTAAAACAATAAATAAACAAAAAAACAATGAATTATTGTACATGTAAGCTTTTCTGGGGTTATTTTTGGTTGCTGCTTAGTGGCTAGAAAGTAAGAGTAAAAAATCCCTAATCAAACTGAAAATTACCAGGAGTTTCTTCTTCCATTTCTGAAATTCCTCCACCAATCCATCCAGCCACTGTCTTTAGTTCTACAGAATTTTCTGGGGCACTTAGATGATCCCAGGTTAGTAACTTTCCTATAAAGAAACAAAGTGATCCCTATATGTCGCTATGGTTTGCAGGCGACACAAAAATGAAATAGATAGAATAAAGGAAACATGATATAAAAAGATCTTTGGAAAGTTGCAATATATAAATTTATACCTGACAAACTAAGCAACGTGTTCAAAGCTTCTCGGGGAGCATCAAGACTGCGATTATCATCCCAGCAGGAAACTGAGGAAGATTGACTAAGACTATTTTCCTGACTGCTCTCTGTGAAGTCTGTCCAGGCGATTTCTGCAGCTGGCAGCGCTGCCTACAAATGTAATCGCAATTATCATTTCAAAGAAATCGATACATGAAATCATGAAAAGGTGTTACTGATCCCTTAGTCTTACATATGATGTATTGACGTACCCTGTATAACTTTGAATAAAATTCATAAAACTTAATCAGATAAACAGAATATCTGATTAACATAATGCCCTATTCACCAAATTAGTAGTCTTTATATCCTGCTCATGATTCTATTTGAAGACTTCATATAAGGTGTAATATTACTGTAATTATCTACATTATTGATAAGATTGAAGCATAAGTTTTACAAGTACTTTCTGTTTAAACTGATTTATTGTCATTAACAAGGTCAATCTTTTAGTTCACAAAATAAAATATGTGGTCAAAAGATGTAAATTTGTTAGGATTGAGACTAACTGTCAATGTATATTAGTGCTATTCTAATATCAATATAACAGGATTTTGAAATTTTGCATAACAGAATAGACGACTTTCACATTTACAAAAGTTATTCCCCTTTGCGGGGTCAATCCGGGGTCAACCGGCGTAAGGCACTGTTTTCCCTCTATAACCTTACCAACTTTATGGGTCAGTATCCTAGAAATAAAATCTATATGAATATGCCCATTATGTTTTTCGTGTTGCCCCATACTCTGGCAATACAGGTACAGATCGAAATTGTTATAGAACGTTTGAATTTTAAAAATATCAACAGGTAACTTGCAAAGGACAAAGAGGGAAAAATTAGCATTACGCCGACAACGGGAGATAACTCTCAGGAATGTGAAATTCGTCTATATCAGAAAGAAAAATAAAGGACAAATAGAAAAAGCTAGGGTTTGGTGCAGCAATATCATATCAGGATATCCGAAATATCAGATTATGAGATATCTGATTTAATGGGACCCACTGTATAATAACAAACAGACAAATATACTGTTACAGTAGTAGATGTTGTTTTATCTTACCTTTCTCGTACGTTTTAATGGAACCGGGTTACAATCTTCGAATGAGTCTTCAATGCTAAACTGAAAATAGGATGTTGGTTGAAAGCATATCTTCTTGTATTGTATGTAATATACCTTACATCTACGTGTAAAATAAGAGAGAAGTACACATTTCCTGGCAAAAAAAAAACTAAAAATTTAATGTAATCAAACATTTTCTCACTTTACAAATATTATACAATATTTACCAGCTGCTCAGACTCATTTTCATTGAAAATTTCAGCCTCCAATAATTCTTTTCTGCAATTTCTGCATATACCTGCAATTGTTTTAAAATTATACTAAGTAAGTTGTATTAACATATATCAGCTGACTTAATAATAATAACAAAAATAATAACCTTTATTATATGATTGAATAATTTCCATCTCTCTGATTGGCTTAGATCCAACTATGTTAGAGAAATACTACGTTGTATTGACCTGCACGTGACGTTCCAAGTCAATACAAGGAATTATTTAAGCTACATCGGACCAAAAATAGATAGGGAACTTCTTGATGACGCGATCGATTATTCTTATTTTTGTCGTCCAATGAAATTGCGCGTCTTACACCGAGTTCGGTTATGACTTCAGCAGACGTAAACAATCCAATACACAATGGCTACTAGGTTTGCTTCGATTGACGACAGCGATTTTGATAGACTTTTAAAAGATAAAGATTCCGAAAACACCCAGAAAGCCACGAAAATGGCAATAAAGATATTTCGTACCTATTTACAAGAAAAGGGTCTATCTACGGAATTTGAATCGTTTGAACCGAGTGAACTGGATGCTACGTTAAGCAAGTTTTATGCGGAGGCGAGAACAGTTAACGGTGAGCTTTATAAACGCAGCAGTTTATTTTCCATTAGACATGGACTTAACAGACATTTGTCGGTGAATTCCCAAAATACAAGGGACATCATCCATGGAGTAGATTTCCGCAAATCACAACTGGCTTTCACCGCAGCTACCAAGGAGCTAAAACGCAGTGGCAAGGGAGGGGTTTCCCATTACCCTCCTATTGAAAAGAACGATTTAAAGCTTATGTACCAGTATTTTGATCTTGAGAACAACGTGAAACTACAGGAAAAAGTGTTTGTAGACATTGTCTTGTATTTTGGACGCCGAGGCCGTGAGAATTTACATCAGTTAAAGATATCGGATTTCAGTGCCAGGCACGATGCAGAGGGCCATCTTTACATTTATTTAGACAAGGATGAACTGACCAAAAACCACCAGGAGAACGCTAACACAGCGGACGGAAGGATGTATGCAATGCCAGGTTAGTACATCATATAGCTTAAACAGTGTTCAATATGGTTTGTTTATTTATAAACTTTAAAGACAAAGTATTTTTTTAAACATGTTAGAAATGTAAATATGTATAGAAATGCAATGTGACATTTTATTTATTTATTTTATTTTATTTTTAGATGATCCTCTATGCCCAGTGAAGTCATTCATCAAATACAAAAGACATCTTAATCCAAAGTGTGACCGAATTTTCCAAAGGCCAAAACGTAATTTTTCTAGTTCTCATTATTGGTATGACAACGTTCCTTTGGGACATAACACTATAGGGAACTTGATGGCTGCAATATCCCAAAAGGCTGGACTATCACAGAGGTATACGAATCATTCTTTGCGCGCAACCTTGGTGCACACACTGGATTCAACAGGTTTATTCTCGGGACGTCACATCATGAGTGTCACCGGACATCGTGCGGAGTCCAGTTTGAAAACTTACTCAGGCCAAACAGAGCCAGAAATAAAGCGGAAAATGTCCGAAAGTATATCCAAAACTCTCCGTACTGACACCAGTGTGCAGGAGAAAGAAAATTCATTAACTACAAGCTATTTCGAGGCTTCTGAAATGAAACTTGAGTCAATACCGGTATCAAATTCACTGTCTGACATTGACAATGTACTGGCAGATTTATTAAATGATCCTGATGATTTTGATTCCATTTTAAGAAGTGCAGATTTCGATTATGGCATTCAAAATGTGGGGGGTCCATGTATTTCTGAAACGAATGCACTGTCGAATCTGAATGCAAGTACTTGTAACTCAGTAAGTAAAAGTGGACAGACCACAGTTACAGAGCACGTAGAGATGTCCAGAACATCTTTTCAGTCTATTGCCTCAGGCCTTCCAGTTTTGACTCTAAACAATTCATCAAATATTACTATCAATTACAATGTCAACTTCAAGTGAAAATGGTTATAATGTTCAGTGATAGACAGATTGACCTGACAAAAGAAGCTGATGTTTCAATATTTTATTGTACCATTTATTCTGTTACAATGTGAACATTAAATGTTGTTGAAATTTCTTGTTAAAATATTCAATTAAATCGAAAAACAGACTTTTTGGAGTTTGCTATCATTTAATCATATTGCTAACATGTAATCATATAATAAAGCAGTTGCTATAATTTAATCATATAATAAAACAGTTATTGCTGTTTTTTTCGGTCAATACAATGATTTAGCCATCTTCGAAGTACAATATTCACCTCGCCCTCCGGGCTCGGTGAATATTGTACTCCTCAGATGGCTAAATCATTGTATTGACCTCAAAACACAGCAATAATTGTATATTATTTATCCAGGATAACTCAATTAGTTTAAAACTGGTTTCCATTGCCATTGTATAAATATAATAAATTATAAAAGTCTACATATAACATAATATTACTAAGGAGACAATGATCACTTCCTACAAATCAAATCTGACCAAATGCAAATTACTCATTCAATGTGTGTACACTGCCAGTGAGTGTACAAAAGTTTCTTTTTTTAGCGTGTCGCACTTTAAACATATGATGATTTCAGGAACCAATCCACTCAGAGTGAGAAATAAGATAGAAGGGTAAAAGGACATGTAGCAAACTATTATCTGTAATTAATAAGGTGTTTAAACTAGAACAAACAAAATAATAAACACATGTTTACAATCGAAAACAAATCCTAATCTATTGATATGCTTGTCGATAAACACACTCTATTACAAAAAATGTTTCATTCAGTACATATATTAATTATGATTTAAAATAAAATTACTCTGATGTATATAGTATCTATAATAGATCTAATGTGATCATCAAAATGTGTATATTCTCCTTATTTCAGCAATGAAACATTAATTTCATTGTAGTGAGCTACCTATAGATTGAATATTGTTTTTGTACTTATTGTATTCAAATCAGATAAAACATAACCCACTCACCTGTTCCAACTGCAAACACAACTCCAAAATTCTCATGTATAGTGTATACATTTGGAAGTGTCAGTGTTCTGTCAGATTTTCTTCTTATGCCCTTATGAGTGTTAAAAATGAAAGGGATTTCACAGAAGTTCCGTCGTTTTCTTCTACTGTTTGTTTCCAAAACATGGACAGAATGGTTTGCACAGATAGAGAAATTTCGTTGAGAAGGGAGCAATCCGAATTCAGTACAAATAATTACGCTTTCGTCGTTTACTTTCTCCGATAAACGCTCAGTTTGGTCGGAACACTTGATATGTGAATCTTTTTCACGAAAATCGCAAGCCATTACCAAAACCTAACTAGAACAATATAAAAAAAACTCCAACGACTCAGCCCAACACCGGCATCTTTCGCAGACGTATCTGACGTCTGACGTTCAATGTTTTTGTTTACATGTCGCCTTTTTGCGGTATTGGTTAAGTCGCGCCATATATAGGTTCAGTGTTACCTTCAAAAAGTCGAAATATCGCAAATTTGTTTTAATTATTAATCAAAAAGTGTATGATAATGTATATATTTATTTATTCATTTAAATATATATTCATATTCATTGATTGATACTGATTGATCGAAATGGTTACGATCGATATACTTTAATAATTGACTTTTCTACCTCCATTTTGAAGAGGTAATCAAATGGGGAATCCCCTTTTACAAAAATAACGTGCAGATTTCGCTGTATTCAACATGAGATAGAATGCCGATTTCCAATAGCCCCAAAAATGTTTTAATGGTCTTGAAAACTACACAATGCAGGGATTCTGTCCGATATCAGGAATTTTACTGGGATGGCTGCGTTTTCTTGTTTTTAAGCGGGTATTCTGGTTGAAAAAAGTCATTTTTTGTATAAAAATCGATACCGTGTTACCCTTTAGAAGTGCAAAAAAAATCAAATACGTATTATTTATATTAGATACATAGTTT